GGACATCACCCAGTGTGCATCAGTCGGACATCTCCCAGTGTGCATCAGTCGGACATCTCCCAGTGTGCATCAGTCGGACATCTCCCAGTGTGCATCAGTCGGACATCTCCCAGTGTGCATCAGTCGGACAGCTCCCAGTGTGCATCAGTCGGACAGCTCCCAGTGTGCATCAGTCAGACAGCTCCCAGTGTGCATCAGTCAGACAGCTCCCAGTGTGCATCAGTCAGACAGCTCCCAGTGTGCATCAGTCAGACAGCTCCCAGTGTGCATCAGTCAGACAGCTCCCAGTGTGCATCAGTCAGACAGCTCCCAGTGTGCATCAGTCAGACAGCTCCCAGTGTGCATCAGTCAGACAGCTCCCAGTGTGCATCAGTCAGACAGCTCCCAGTGTACATTTGTCAGACATCTCCCAATGTGCATCAGTCGGACAGCTCCCAATGTGCATCAGTCAGACATCTCCCAATGTGCATCAGTCGGACAGCTCCCAATGTGCATCAGTCGGACAGCTCCCAATGTGCATCAGTCAGACATCTCCCAGTGTGCATCAGTCAGACAGCTCCTACTGTGCATCAGTCGGACAGCTCCTACTGTGCATCAGTCGGACAGCTCCCAGTGTGCATCAGTCGGACAGCTCCCAGTGTGCATCAGTCGGACATCTCTCAATGTGCATCAGTCAGACAGCTCCCAGTGTGCATCAGTCGGACAGCTCCCAGTGTGCATCAGTCGGACATCTCCCAGTGTGCATCAGTCGGACATCTCCCAGTGTGCATCAGTCGGACATCTCCCAGTGTGCATCAGTCGGACATCTCCCAGTGTGCATCAGTCGGACATCTCCCAGTGTGCATCAGTCAAACAGCTCCCAGTGTGCATCAGTCGGACAGCTCCCAGTGTGCATCAGTCGGACAGCTCCCAGTGTGCATCAGTCGGACAGCTCCCAGTGTGCATCAGTCAGACAGCTCCCAGTGTGCATCAGTCAGACAGCTCCCAGTGTGCATCAGTCAGACAGCTCCCAGTGTGCATCAGTCAGACAGCTCCCAGTGTGCATCAGTCAGACAGCTCCCAGTGTACATTTGTCAGACATCTCCCAATGTGCATCAGTCGGACAGCTCCCAATGTGCATCAGTCAGACATCTCCCAATGTGCATCAGTCGGACAGCTCCCAATGTGCATCAGTCGGACAGCTCCCAATGTGCATCAGTCAGACATCTCCCAGTGTGCATCAGTCAGACAGCTCCTACTGTGCATCAGTCGGACAGCTCCCAGTGTGCATCAGTCGGACAGCTCCCAGTGTGCATCAGTCGGACATCTCTCAATGTGCATCAGTCAGACAGCTCCCAGTGTGCATCAGTCAGACAGCTCCTACTGTGCATCAGTCGGACAGCTCCCAGTGTGCATCAGTCGGACAGCTCCCAGTGTGCATCAGTCGGACAGCTCCCAGTGTGCATCAGTCGGACAGCTCCCAGTGTGCATCAGTCAGACAGCTCCCAGTGTGCATCAGTCAAACAGCTCCCAGTGTGCATCAGTCAGTCACATCTCTGTGTACATTTGTCAGACATCTCCCAATGTGCATCAGTCAGTCATCTCTGTGTACATTTGTCA